TCCACCCATCCAAAAATATCGCTCGTTGTGTACAGATCAATTTAGCCAAGGTCATCTCTCGAAAAATGACAGTTGAGCCAATAATCGGCCACTATCCAGTCCTCACTTTTTTCCATTTCTATTTTCAATTCGTTGTTTAATGCCTATTGCCCTTCAAAACGTTATCCAACTAAATTATGTGAAGGTTTTACCTGATAATGAGTGGCTTTAGGCGAGACCAAGGTGCTTCACCTACCGTCCCGTAATAGATGGGATTGCAAGTACCGATACCTATAAAGACGGGCTTTTGAAATAACAGAGTAAATAAATTTTCCGAAAATTTCTAGGGACCCTTTTTGTTGAGAAACACTTGGATAATAATGAGGTCTTATCGCAGCTAAAGCTTATCATTTTCGCTCGTAACTGGAAACAGACAAATCAATTAGATGGCTCACTCAATTCAGGGTACGCCACATACCCTACCTTCGCCATCAATCGTGGTCTTTTGAATTGAATCCTCACTACAAATATTTGCAGCCTCGAGCTCATATTGATGCTCCTTCAGAGTGATGCTCCTTCGTTCCCTATCTCCTTACTACGTAAACGACCCCGTGGCGTTTGGACAGACTAGTGGACCTGAATGAGATTTGAGAATTAGATGCAATGTGTTTAGCCTAGCGTTACCCCTAAAAGTTCAGCCTATTACCCCCTCGTTTCTTAATAAGGTAAAGCTTCTGACGTTCGTCAGTCCGTTGTGAGATGCGCAATGCATGCTATCACATTCAGCGCCACAAGTGGCATTCCGATTTCGTTTGACCTAAGTGGTTTGCAGGGGATCAGTAGGTCTATATCCAAGTATTTTTACCCACCTAAACGAGCCTGGTACCGGAGCATCGACCTCTGAAGACTCTTACAAGTAAGTGTTACCGTACTGCGAAAAAAAGAAGCGTCAATCTGCTTTTTCTGCAATATTTCCCTCTAATGGAAGTTTTTATAGAACAGGCAATAGTTTATGAATTACAACGCGTTTGTTTCTTTGCTGGTGCGTTGCTTCTCAACAACTTTCCAGCCTTTCCCACTGATTGCACCTGTAACCATGCATTTATCGACCGGGTTTTAACGAAATATTACTTTACAATACAGTACTTTACTGCAAGAGTGGGTCTGTCAAGACAAAGAGGCCATAATTCTCTATTTTTATTAGTTTTAAAACCATACCATACTCTCTGCTGATACGGTAGTTTAAGCACGTTACAACGAAGACAGAATGAGAATTGAATTACAAATTTCAAATTCAGTGAGTGCATGAACGGATTCACAAGCGGTGTTCGGCTTTCTGGAAGCGTCGCGATTTAGTTCCCATTCGAAATCGCTGAGGCATTTGGAATGCTTTTACGAAACAGGAGACCCTTCCATCCGGTACTCGAGTTATCTTTTCCCACTCTTGTGGAGCGATATTATACCAGTAAGTGGGCTCTGAGGGAACAAAAGACCTAGATGTTTCAGGAGGGTTAGAGTCTTTGAAATTCGCTGGGCGCCTGCTAGCAGCTACGCCTTCTTCGCTTCATTGTGAATACTGTGCAATCACTTCTTACTTGAGTACATTGGTCCACTTCCTGAAGTATGCGCCATGTTCCATGCAAATTTGTTTTTTTTCATGTGAAAGCGTAGATCGTTTGGTCGAGAATTCGCTCTACTAATTCTTTCTGAACCTTTTCTCGAATTTCTACTAACCAATTCTTTCTGAATCTTGCCTTGACTGTAAACTTGTTCTTCCCTACTCATCTGGATTTCCCGCTCTTCTACTTCGTATTTTCGTCTTTTTTCTTCCTCGTCAAAGTGCCTCATTTCTATTCAGCCAAATATTCCATTTCAGAATGAACTCCCCCTACGCCACCATTGTTGACAACCCGGATTTCCATCCGGCAATGTTCGCCGAGAAGATCGACCGTGCTCTCCGAGCCGGCGACAAGGACACCGTCGTCAGAGTGATCACCTCTATCAGTAACAATCAGCGACAGCAGGTGCGATTGTAATTTATTGTCAAAAGGCTACAGAATCATGTGCAAGCCCTTTAGAGTTGATATCGTCGCACTCAGTCAGGGCGGTTCCAAGAGGGACGGAATGGGACCACCCGCAGCCTTTCCACCACTGGTTGTTTGCTTTCAGGATCGCTCTGTAATCGACCGCTATTGTTAGAGCAAGGCATCCGGAGGCGGGGTCACTCTGCCCCTTCTGACACCGCCCCGACTAGTGCGACGTCATCAACTACACCGCTGGGCCCAATGTCGTGCCTAGTGCTCGGAGTCTGAAATTTAGGTTTGAAACCGGACTAAAGCAAGGCGTTTTTCTCGCTTCAACGCTCCTAATCTTGTAGTAACATTTGCTTTGTGCACTACGGCGATAAGCGCAAGCTAGGAAAACAAATCAGCAGCAAAGATAGAAGCGAATGGTCTCTTACTGCTTTGTCACTACTTTATGGAAATCAAAAATAGTATTTACTTTTCAACTTCACCAAAAATAGGTGAACACAAGGTGCAGGGAGGAGACATTCTACTCTTATCGCCATATAATGGACAGGTTGCACCATTGGACAGCCGCCATGTAATCGCAAGAGTCGATCCGATTTTCAACTTTTATAGTGGCGAACCGTTACGGGCTCATCTGGGTCACCCTTCCGTGCAGGCTTTGCAGACGAGTCGTATAAACCGAGGACGTTTATTGTGTGCAGCCGCGCTTGCCGATCAATTCCAGAGGGTATTAGCGGCCATCAAGCCAGAGGGTAGCCCATTTATGTTTGCGATTAGCATCTACGCCAGGCCATCAAGCCAGAGGGTAGCCCGTTTATGTTTGCGATAAATCTATGCGAAATAATTTCTTGGCGGTTTCTGTCTGTCAGCATCTGGAAAATTCCTGTCCTAAAGTTCGAAGAGTTTTGAAGCTCAGAACTCAGTGACTACCCTTGTAAGTCAATGTTACTGAGGTGTCGTCTAAAGGGTAATGGCTACTCTTTCCAACGATGGTACCAGCTGACAGGGATTAAATTTCATGGAGAAAACATGCTCGCTTGATGACTTAATGAATGGCTCACTATTTAATCAGGGCAAAAGAGACAGCAGGGCAACTTATCGAGTCAAGCTTGAACAAGTCGTCTCTCATTAACGCCTCGTTAATCAGTCCTGTATCAGTCGCAGTCTCTTAGCCGATTAATGTTTGATCGCTCCAGCCAAAGCCTTCCGTCGTAGCAGTGGAGAGGAATGACTGGCAGTTGAGGGGACATCGGGATCTTCTGGTGAATCAGGGTGGTACGTGCTTCCTACACCACAGGAAGCCCTTAGCTTTCAGTAAAAGATTGCATACATGCGTTGAAACCTACTGAACGGGAAGCGAACACCGGGATTCA